ACACCGGAAATCCATCAAAGACAGAAACACCCAATTACCGGTGGGGGCACATTTCTCACAGGAGGGCCACTCTCTCTCCAATCTCTCAGTCCTGATCCTCAAGGGAAATTTACACAACACATCCCAGAGATGAGCCTATGAGCTCCATTTCATCAACCTGCTGGATACTAGAAATCAGGGACTAAACATAGACATTGGATTTTTGATACATTACAATCTGCCTGGCAACTGACTCCCCAGCCCAGCCCAGCCCAGCCCCTGGCTTGTTTACTTTCCATTCCATCCAGGAAGAGCACACACGAACTGCTGCAGCTTCCTGAGCCTGACGAAGGGTTTTTGAACCCGAAAGCTTGCTTAATAACTATTCTCCAACCATTTGGGTTGGTCTAATAAAAGATATCAAATTCACCCAAGGAATCTTGTCTGCCTATATTCGTGTTCATGCATTTTTGCAGAAAATAGGCCTTTGGATGGAAAACTGCAAAATGAGCAGTGCATGTAAAATAAAATATTAAATTATCTTAAATAGGTCAGGTGAAGATCATGTCAGCCAACTATTGCTCCTTCACACTGAGAGCTTTATCCTTACCCAAACTTACTTATATGCCAACTGTTTTGCTACTAAAATTGGGGCTGAGAGAGACCATAAATTGTACACAGTAGGTGCATCTACACATCTGCAGTTGACTTATTAGCTACACAGTAAAGTGTCACAGTCTATATGGGTGCCAGTACTAGGCTGCAGTAAGCTAATTAACTCTGCCATAAGATAGTACTGTCGGGCACAGTACTATCTTACAGCGGAGTCATTTAGTGCACTGAAACACGTGTAAACACTGAGCACAGGCATAAATTGCACCCAGTCAGCCCAGCCAACCGGAGGCCTGTTCTGCCCCTGTCAAAGTGCTGCTGTCCTGAACGCACATGTAGACACTGCACCTAGGAGCAGTGTACTCCAGCTCAAAGAGCTCCAGAGTTTATTGCATCACATTAATTGCACGTATAGATGCAGCCAGTAATGAGTAAATTGCTTTGTCCCATTCCTTTCGTACTCTAAAGCAATTAAATAATTTTTACACAAACGTTCATCAAAAGAGAAGTCAGCTTACAGCAGAAATTTAAAGTTAAAAGTTGAAGGTTGTGGTAATCAAATACATGATGTTATGAAGAATAACAAGTGATCACTTCTGCCCCATTTAAAATGTACTACTATATTAAAAAAACAATAGAAATTTTGCATCTTTTGGTAAATACTATTTTTACTTAATTACCTATAGGTATTTAACATTTTTTTAAATAAAAATGGGATATAGAGTGAATATGCATGATACTGAGTATGATTCAAATGGTTCTTTCAAAAAGATTATCTTATAAGAATCTGAAGTTTTCCAGAAACAAATTTAAAAGCATCTTTTTCCATACAGTGACATTTTTAAAGCTATGAAACAGTACACAGACACAGAAGAAAAAGAAAACCAATTCCACTGGCAACCCCCTAGCCAATCACAGCACATCTGCCTTTTTTCTATGGTGACAAGGATGCACAGATGCTTTTTAATATCCATAAACCAATATGCTAAATATGAAAACAAAGGAACATATACAATAAATTGCTAGTAATTCTATTAATCTAAGATACATTCAATTTTCATTTTTGTATCTATCAGTTTTTTCCTGAAACTTCTTCCTACTTATAAATCAGAGCACTAAAGGGAAATAAATACATACGTATCCTAGTGATCTAACACCCATCCCAAGCTAGCCCCATCTTGTGTCACTGCCTAAGTCATGCAAATTACACCAGAACTGCCAGTTGACTAAGATTAATGACACTGCGCCAGCTTCTTTGTTTCTCTCTGCGGCCGTTTAGTGTGAAATACTATCCAAAAACATTATCTATCCTCTATTAATCCCACAAATTTGTTCACACCATGCACATTGTTTAGGGCAATTTACAACAGGAACATACTGAGCACAATTGCATTTAATTACTTGGGTTCTAATTACATTCATTAAAGGCTAATAAAATAAATGAAACAGCTTTAAAAGCTTCTGCAAAACACATGGGTCTTGTCTCCCTCGTGAAGCATACAGTAGATGTTTGATGTGAAATACAGATTTACTCATATATGTGTGTCTATCATATATCCGTAATATGCATAAAGACATATATACAGTGCATATTAATATACCTAAAAACCATATGCATAGATTTCAAATGAACCTGAACACTGATATTCACTTATATGACTTGCTATAAAGATGTCAAGCACCCCAAACTACTTTTTAATGTGGTATGTAAAGAGAGGGGAATATCAGTTTTGAAATTTCAGTCCAATTCTTCTAATTGTTTCCACCTGCACTATAGACTTATTTATCCTCTCTCCTCTATATCTGCATTGTAAAGGATGCAAAATGACATTAAAAAGGAAAGAAAGAAGAAACATTGTATTTTTGGTAAACATTCTTAAAGATATTTCATTAATGTTCAGTTCTGATACTCACTGAGCCTTTGACTGGTTTCTCTTTAGCAGCGGATGCAGCATATTTAAAGAACACACAAGCTATTTGTATTAAAACACACGTTCTAAAGCACTCTAGGCAGTCTAAGTAAATCCCCCATGGTGGTTAAAAATGCAGCTTTTTAATAACATCATTTCCTAATTATTACGTGCCTATCCTATTTACGTTGTGCTTAGGAGGCTGGTTGTGGCAAAAAATGGAAACTAGAACACCATATTGACCACTATGCCAGCCAGAGTTCAGTGCCCAATGTTCAGAAAATAGTGTTTAGTATATGCTTATCTTGTTATTACTATTCACTGTCTTTACATTTACTAGGGGATAGCTCTTACAATTCTGTGAAAGAAATAAAGTTCTAGTTGAATATCTTACAAGTCTTGGTCTATGTGATCATGATGTGTACTCAACTGAAAGATGCTATTTGGCAAACTTAGAAATATAATTACTTATTGCAAATATTCTGCAGTATATTTATAATGACAACCAAATATGCATGGCATCACAATTCCAAAACAGGCACTGCACTCACAATCTTGAACTGACTCATCAGAAAACAATCAGAAACTGAAACTGAAAAAAAAAAATCATAAGCACTGAAATGTAAGGCTTGCCTAGTATGTGTCTCCCTGCAATGAACATTGATCTGCAACAGCTAATCCCAAATACATTGTAAACATTTAGCTTCTCTTAGCTTCAAGATGTTAGCTGTATAACTCAACTATCTTTCCATTAGCCTCTACCTGACTTCTACCTGATTCTGTAAACAAGTTGCACTCTTTAGTAAAGGACTGAAAGATCAATTTTATTTTCCTTTTGGAATGCCATT